ATTAATGTCACAACTTACAAGTGAGAAACCTCAGGGTTCAGTGTTAGGACCTTTACTTTTTTTATTTACATCAGTGATGTAGATGGAGTGGTGTTGCTGGCTATGAGGAGGAGGATTTAGATTATTTGGCGAGTTTGATAAATAAATGACAGATATGACTTTTAATCATAATAAATGCAAGATAATACATGTGGGTTATAATTTGAATTATAAGTATAATTTTCATGGGAATAACCTTATCAGTGTTATGGAACAAAAAGATCAAGGCATTGTTGATCATTCTTTTAAACTGTCATAGTAGTGTGCTGTTGCTAGTAGAAGGGAAAATAGGATTTTATGTTGTATTTACAGAAGTATTGAAAAAAATATATTTGTTAAAGTCTGAAGAGGTTATAATTTCATTTTATAGGCTACTAGTTAAGCTGCATTTAGTGTATTGTGTTTATTCTTGGGCTCCTTACCTTAAGAAGGACACTGAGTTATTGGAAAGAGTTCAAAGGAGAACTAATAGGATGATACCTGGGACAGAAAGGACAGGTTAAGATCTCTGAAATTGCTTTCTATTATAAAAAGAATGGTTTGAGGGGATCTGATGAAGGTGTTTAAGATGAATAAATTTGATAGTGTTGATGTATGATCTTCTTTTTTTTTTAATTAATGATGAGGATGGTAGGATACTGGGACAGAAGTATAATGTTTGTCAGTGTAGGAGTCATCTTCATCTCGGATAGTTTTACTTTCTTGTATGGATGATTGTCTTTTGAAATGGGTTGCCTTCAGATGTGACAGATGCAGTAAATTCAAGGGAAGGACTAACAGGTTCCTTGTTGCATTTAATTGTTGTATCTTGTGTGGTATCCCATGGATAACCAGCAAAGAAAAAAATTAGGCTCACTTACAACAGGGAGTTCTCAGATCTTGGGCTTGGGTGTACATTTCTCAAGAGTTGTAACAGTTAAGTCACAAAAAGGAGGTAATACAAATATTAAATTACACTTTCAACATGTACTATACAAACAACAATACTCTTCACAATAAACAGCAGTACAGTTAACAATAGGGCAAGTGATATTTTGAGTGTGACTGACAAGAACAAAATTAAAGCTTTATTGAACAAAAACTCTTCTCGGTATGTGTAGTACTTCCTTGTAAACTAAGTGAAGAAAAGAAAATTACCCCAGTTAATTTAAGATACAGGAATATTAGTTCTCACTAACTGCAGTGAAATTTAAGTTCTTACTTGGATTTCACTAACTAAATAATCACTAAAAGTGCAGCAATTCTCTGAACACTTAACATGAAGCTAAATGCTAAACCAAAACTACTCCTCAATATGATAAACTAATAACTCGCTGTTAATGTGAAGCAGAATGCTAAACGAGATTCTACAGCAAATACAAATAAAAGTGAGGAATCTTAAGAATCTCTATAGTCAAAAGTAAAAATAATTTAAAATGTAGCAGAAACTGAAGGCTTTTGTTCAATATCTTTGGGCTCTCAAGCAGGTACTGCATACACACATACACGCACACACTGATACTTAAATCTGTGTAAACTGTGTGAAAGTCTTATTTGAAATCTATGTAAAACCTATGTGAATTCTAAATAAAACTTACAATTTCTTTAAAATCATTTTGTTAACTCTCTGAAAAATCTGCTCTCACATCATACGAAACTGCTCTTAAAAGTATTTCTAAAACCAAAAATTGTGAAAGGTTTTATTGCTACAGAATGTAACTTAGAATGCAGAATACTTATTGGTTTACATAGGCAACATTTCATCTGAAGTTCTTTAAAAAATAAATAAATGCCCTAGCCAGGTATAAAATGGCGAATAAACACAGAATGAACACAATCAATGGATAATTTTAAAGTAAAATAAATGATAGTTTTAGATACAACCGTATAATATACTAGGAGTCTACAAATGGTTGAACACAATCTTAAAACATATAACATCAAGTTTATGATACCAGAAAACATAGTGTTTGGTCCCTCACAAGATCAGAAAACCAATGGGCAGTCAAGATCAAGGGCAAGTCCACTCCAAATTTTTATCCATTTTACTGAAGATAATAACTCGACTCACTAATTAAAAACAAAGTTGTCATTTCTGTAAAAGAACCCAATTTGCAGAGTGGTTTTCATCAGCACTCAAGGAAAGTGAAAGATAGCAACTTACTAAACATCTCTGTGTTAGATGAGGAACTCTGAAAAACAACAATTTTAAAAGTGTTTACATTTTAACTAAATGAGTGGAAGACATGGTGTGTCATCTTATCTATAAACTACTAAAACTCTGACATTGTTTGCTTGTCTGTAATTAAATACAGCAAAAATGGCACACAGTAGTGCTATATTTGTAGTAAACAGAATAAAACAATTTTCGTTAAAATCAGGCCATGAGTTAGTGCCGTTTTTCGAGTCACTTTTATGAAAATTTCTAGCATGAGTAATTTTACATCACACTACTGTTCACACTCTTTACGAAACTTCTTCATTCCAATCTATTTCCCTGTCAATGTTCTCATCTTCTTTGAAAAATGAAATGGTCTTTCCTTTTACTCCCAATCAACAATCAAATATCTTTTCTTGAATTATGAATAACACAAATGGATTGAAATATTTAATTAAATTATCTCAAAATAAACCTTCATTTTGGTGCAATATTGAAATTAGCTTGAATTCTTTATAACCTCTGAATAGTGGGTGACCCAATGGGTCACGGTGGTCTAGTTCTTACTAAACATTATCTTTCGGATTATTTTGAACCAGAAACATTTTTGTGATGTTATAATTCAGACTATTTATGACATTTGAGTTAAAAATGGGAATATGGTGGTGCTGACAAGTATGGTTAAGTGTTTAATGAATATCATGAACAGTTAAGAATTGTTACATAAACAAAAACTGTTGTTGCTATTTGAAAAATGAATATTTAAGTAAAACTTTCTTGTACTTGTTTGAAAATCAAAATGGTATTATAGCAGTGAATTTAGGAAATATTGGCAATAATATACATGTCATTGACTAATATCAATTGTTGTGATCACGAAAGTAAATACCTTTCCCAGAGTTCTTGCAGTTACTTGAATCCCTGAAAATTTTAGAAATTTTGTTTTTGATTTTCAAGAGCCTTGAAAAGTCTGAATTTCTTTAAAACCTATTAGGTCAGTTAGAAATTTTTAACTTTTAATATTTTATATGAAAGAAAAAGAGACTTGTCTCTGGTATGGAAAAAGGAGGTAAAACAATCGCTTATTTGACGTGCATCTGTATTTTTTTGTCTGATATTATCTCTTACAAATAATGTATATTATGAAACTTGTTAAAAATCCTGTAATTAAAATGCCTAATAATTTTTGAATAACCAGCTAAACACTAATGAACTTTGTAAATAAAATGTAGTAGGCCTGTTATAGTTTGTGGTTAATGCTCTATATATGATAGATGTATTGCTAACTTTTTCTTATATCTGGTTGGTTAGTAATGTAAGGAAAATGAAAAAGTTTGGGTATATAAAGTTGTACAGAAATAATATGTATGAAGTAATAAGAAAAAAGCATAACTTTCTAAACCTAAACATTTAACAGTAAAAGAAAAAAACCTACCTATTGTTATTTTAAATTCAGTGTTATGTGAAAACACTGATATTTCTTTCTTTGATCTTATGATTTATCCTCTTACTTTATATCACTTATGCAAGACTGTTGTTCTCTGTCTCTGCTATTTTTGAAAGTAGAGTACTGATAGTTCTTTTCCTTTCTATTAAGCAACCATGACCAATTTACTAAGGTGTTTTCATTTTTCATGCTTCATTTCTTGCTCAGTTGATGGGACTTTAATCTGCAAAGGTTCTGAGTCTTTGGACACTTACCAGTTTCATATACTGTTCAGACTAGAGCTTATTGATTTGACTGATTGAATGATATAATTGATTGCCTATGAGTAGTAATTACATAATACTTATTAAAGTAATTATTGCTTACAGGCAATCAAAGTTATGATTAAATTTCAATTACGATTTCTGATTATTAATATTTTTGATGACTACAACTATCTAAGTAATCAGACTATTGCTATTACATTTGTTATTAAGCACGAAGCTATATAATTGGCTATCTATGCTCTGTCAAATTTGAGCCTTATACTTTGTTTTTACTTCAATTTCCACTTTGGTGATGCATGAGGGAGAGGGCACTCATGATTCAATGGTCTCAGGTTTGATTCCCATTGCTACCAAATTTGCTTATCCTGTATTTTTCATGGCAAAGCTGCTAAGGCTGTCTGCCACTGTCACTGATTTTGAACTGCTGACTAGAGGGAAGGCAACTGTCTGATAACACCTACTGATAACTTTTTTTTTGTAATAAACTGCTGTCTAGAGGGAAGGCAACTGTCTGGTAACACCCACTGCCAATTCTTTTTTCTTGAACTGCTTACTAGAAGGAAAGCAAATGTCTGATAGCTAACTTTTTTTTTGTATTGAACTGCTGATTAGAGAGAAGGCAATTGTCCGATAACATCTACTGCCAAGTGTACTAATTGATTAATCAAATGTAATCAATTAATGGGATTGTTGATTAATCCATAAGCAAATACCACTAGTTGCTCAGTTATATTTCAAACTTTACTTCTTATTTCTAGCAACTGGTCAGTGACAGTTTGGTTCTGGTATTTATTCTATCCATAAATTGTTTCCAATATAGTATTAATTGTAGTGTGACACTGTTGTGAAGTAAGTGTTGTTTGTAAATGTAAAGCTAAGTATGTATTTCACACTGAAAATACTAAGTATGGTAACTTTACATGTTTATGGCTTTTACCTAATATACACACTTGGTGTTAGGTAAATATTCATAATCTATTCATATAATCTATTGCATCAATGCAATTTCATAATTTATTCATATAGCAGTTGTACAGCTTTACTATAAACCAGATTTTGTTTTTATTAGCTCTAATTCTTACATGAGATATATTTCAAATATTTGTTTTAGATTGAAAACTTTCAGCCTCAACATAATCAACAAGTGTATGTTAAGGCCACTTTGTACTCAGTTGGTGATGAACAAAAACCTCATGTTCACAAGTTGATGGGGAAGGACTGTGATTCTGAAGGAACCTGCAATATGAAGCTGAATAGTAATGGAACTGCTAGGTAAAAGCTAATGATCTGTGCTCTGATATTTTCTTTCAGTTTAGGAATAAGAAATAATGGTAAAGAAGAGACTTATTTTACTTTTTAATCATGAAGAACTGTAAATTGGTAGTCATTCGAAATTTTGAAAAGGTGCAGCTTCTTTAATGTAAATATATGAAGTATTTTGTTTACCAAAGATTGACATGTCATTAGGTGTACAAATAACATGTATTTGTGTATCTGAATGTCTATAGCATTCACCAGTTTGATTAAAAAAACACAGTGATTCTTATTCTTGTGATTGATGAAACTTCTGAGCTGTCAAGCACAATATTATATGTTTTTTGAAATTCTTTTTACAGCATTTGTGTTGACTACTCAATATCTTGTTTTTGTTATACTGACTTACATCAAAACTAACTAAGTTCTAACTGGAGATCTTTAGGTAACAGTATATTACTTCAACTTAAATTTGATGATGAGGAACCCAGTTTTTAGAAAATAAAGTTTGAAGATGGCTTGAGTAGGTAGTGAAAGAAACTATTACAAATGTATGATGCTTTGACAAGCTTATGTCATCAGCACATGTACCTGATGATGACATAAGCTTGTCAAAGCATCATATATTTGTAATAGTTTCTTTCACTACCTATTCAAACTGTCTCCAAACTTTAATTCTACTTAGTTTTCATTACAGCATTTACTATAACTTACAAGCTTTTCATATATGTTTGACCTACATCAACTTGTAGATACAATTGAAAAAAAAGTATAGAATTATTAGATAACTGGAAAAATATTGATTGAATTATTACATTTTGTTAGAAATCTAGTTTTCTGCAGGTATCTGTTGTATTTCCAAAACATACTTACCCTCCACTGACATTTGGCTAGTCCTTGATGTTGGCTTTGCCTATCTAAGAATTGGTCTCGCATGCTCCAGTCTTTCATCCCCCCTTAATTGCTCTTGGCAATATCTAATTTGCAAATCCCTCCACCTGCTTCAATGTGCCCTCTGTCCTGACACTGTATGTAAGCACCTTACTCAGATAATGTAATCAATTTTTCTCGACAGAGCGTTGGTCACAGTTTTGTCTGACGAAGTGCTGTGGTTTGTTCCATTATGTATTGTGATTTTCGTGTCACCTTGTGGATTCCCGTATAATTATAATTTCCTTAAAGAATAAAAAATGGACATGATGGGAAGGTCAGTTAGAGTGAGGTTACAATTATTGATGGACATCTGGTATTCCTTCACTGCAGATCCATGGGCACTTCAGGTTCTGGTATCGAGGTTGACCTTTCCATTAAATTTTCCACCTTCATTATCCATTCACCAGTGGGGTGTGGATTTTCTTTTAAGGGCTATCAGAGTTACTGATCACGGGGTGATAGTGACAGTTGATCTCGTTCTTCCGGGATTTTATTCCTGTTTAGTTGTTTTGCTTGAGATAAGAGGAGATTCACAGAGAATCATCATTTTTTTTCATCTCAACCCATTCTTTGTTTTTCCCTGGTTCTCAATGGAGTCCTTTCTTACCCTACATTGGCATTCTTCACCAGGTCCATTCATGTCCAAGTTTGTGGTTGCTGAGGCATTTCTCCAAATTCTCATACTGAATTCATATTGCCTTTAGCTATGTTTTGTATACAGGGATCAGGCTCTGCAGTTCATGGATCTAGCCTTTGGTTTAGCATCAGCACCATATGTCTTCTGTTGGGGTGTACAAGTTTTCACTATGTTTTTACGATCGGCTCAGCCGCCTCCCATCCAGCACCAGGCGATGGAATGGGCAGTCAGGCTCTTATTTACAGGAATGGTTCTATCTCTGGGGTTGTGGGATTCTCTTAAACCTCTTGAATTTTTTGGATGAAGACACATTATCCCTTCAGTGGTCCCACTGCAACTAATGGATCTGGAACTTCAATCCACTGGATTTTCCTGTCTCTTTCATCTTAGTTTTTGAGTGGTGGTTGGTTTGGATCTCCTCTATCATTAGCATGTGTGTGTGTATGTATATAATGTGTGTGTGTGCATATATATATATATGTGTGTAAATGTATACTGCCCGTCTGTCCATAGTTTCTCTTCACAGATACTTCACTTCGGGGATGCAGTGTGTATCTTCATGGTCAGGAATTTCAGGAGGATGAATGGAGGATGAATCTTCATTCTGCATCAATAATTTTGAACTTCTTGCTGTCCAACAGGCAATAATGCAAGGTCTAGATCTTTTGAGACATTTCATCAACTCCAATGGTCTCTTAAATTTGATTCTTTCTCTATGGGGCCTATTCCAATTATGTCAGCCTCCTGGCTTGCTATTTTCCTGGGGTGTTGGATTTCATAGCATATTGTCAGTTTCAGTCCTCACTTTCTCCTGAATAAATGGATTCTCTGTTGTGCAGTTTTCCAATAGATTTGTTCTCACTTTGGGCCTCCATTGATAGCTTTTGCCACTCATTGATACTCAACTATAAGCTTTGGAGTCTCCACTACCTCATCCTCAGGCTTGGATGGTAGATGCAATCAGTCTTGCTTGGATGGGATTGCACATCTATCACTTTCCCTCACTTCCTCTGTTACTCAGAGTTCTGGCTATAATTCGGTCCTCTACTTACAAGATATTGCTAGCCTAGATTGGCTGGCCTAGCCATGATTTCCTCTTCTTCAGTTTCTTCATGTGAGTCTACCTCTGCATCTTCCTATTTGGCTATCTTTATTGAGGCATTCTCAACCCATCATTCTACACCAAGACTTTTCCCAGCTCACTGGGGTTTAATATCTACAGTTGCCTGGGGTGTGCCACACAAGGAGTTTGTACCCACTTTACCAAATATGTTCACCATATCTTGTTTTGACCTGTTTTTTATTTGGGTTTAGCTTCATCTCCTGTCGTTTTGGTCAGACAACTTTTTCATCTCCTTTTAGTTATCCTAAACATCTGGATGTTTTGGACTCCCCAGTGCTATCCAGCCTTCTTCCCAAATGGACTTTTCCATTTACTTAATCGAAATATTAAGGTGGTACTACATGCCTTGTCTCGACAACCATTTGAGCCTTTAGCCTCATGTACCATGTATCATCTCTCACTTAATGGGTATTTTGTTGTTGCTGACAGGGTTATGTCATCAACTTCAGGTGTTGACATCTTTGTAGGACTATCTATCTCTCCCTTTAGGTCTTTCTATACCCTGATAGGTCTTTTCTTTCTCTCCACAATTCATTTGCAAACTATTTCTCATCTATGCAGTTGATCATGTGCTCATTATTTGTTTTGTCCGGCCAGGCCCAGAGGTGTTATGTGGCTCACTCTACCTCCTTTCATGGTGATAGTTTTTGTCTATGTATTCTTTGGAATACTTCAGTCTCCAAAGGTTTATCCCCACTTTCTTGGAGGTGGTCTTGCAAGTATCCAGGTTGCATATTTTGGATTTTACAGGTGAGGAATCTTCTGAGAGTTACACCTCATCAGCTTCAGCACATTTATGTTTTTCACTGCCCATTTCTTTGATTCACTAGGGGACGTTTTATATGCCTGTATGTGGACTTCTCCTAATGCTTTTCTCTCACATTCTTTATATGATCTGGCAGTTTTTCTTCTGGGAGTTTTCCACTAATCCCCATGGTGGTTCTAACAACATTTGGTAGATTATACAGATGAAGGAGTAATCTTATCTTTCTTTTTCAGGGTCCCTTACATTGTGCTTTCACTGGATCCCACTCTTTGGCAAGTATTGCCCAGACAGGTGTACTTTTATCAATCCAATACTATACTAGCAACCCATTTGACTATACTTAATTTTGGTTGCAACAGGCTCTGTAGAAATGAGGTGTTCCATAAGACCATCTAGGTACATTACTGCATGGTATTACCATATTATCATGGAGTGCTACTCGTGAACTATCATGAGTAAAGCTAAAGGGGATTCTGCCTGTCCCTACCGATCATTGTATTGAATAAATTGGGGTTGGTTTGCTTTTAGAAATTTAGGGAACTTGGTTCACCTATTGCACTGTTTCCAGAGCACTGTTCCTCAGGACTCTCTAACATGCATTACCCCCAGATTCTACTAGTGGAGCTAGGGAGTCCTTACCACACCCAGTTTCCAGTAACTAGGGTGGTGGACAGAGGCTTTTCCTCCAGAGTGTTGGAGTAGGTTTCTCCCACTCTTGGAGAAGAGGGCAAAGGTGGGGGACTTCCTACTGGGGTCCTTGCATGTATTTCCTGAATGTCAATAGGAGCGGTGCCAGCCTACATGGGAGCCTACTCATAATACTGGTTCAGATTTGATCTTATGCTATCCAGTTGGGATGTGCTTGGCCCTTCTTATGAACAATGTCGGGTTGTATATTGTTCATGGATGGAGGTCCACTATCTCCTCATAATTCTGAACACAATTCTGGGGGCAAGTGGAATGCTCCTTGCCCACTTGGTTAGAGAGTGAGGATGAATGTTCATAATTCTAGACTGGATGTTCCTTTGGTTGAGTATGGTATATATGATCCTGTCATTCCAAGGAGCCTAGGGTGGTGCCTTTTGGACTTATTCAGGTGGAAGAGAAAGTTTGTCCACTTCAGTGTTGCTTACTTTCTCATTGTAATTCTAGTGGTTCAGAACACATCACTCTCTGGCTACAGGTTGGAATCCAAAAGTGTGATATAGATACCATGGCCCCTTAATTCCAACCCAGAGTTATGGAACCTTGGTTATCTGGTTGGGGCTGGCCTATAATAATTACTCATGTACTATTTCACCCTTGATACCAATATTAAGTTCTGGGTGAAGAGTATACCTGTTCTGGTTGTAGTGCGGTTTCCCCACTTGAGTACCACTCTTATCTTGGTACACCCCTGTTCTTTACAGATGCTTTCTGTATGGACAATGCCCTCATCAGCCCTTCCACCTTCTCAGTGTGAGATTCTAGCCAATGTGTCAGCAGAGGGTAAGTATGTTTTGGAACTTAACATTTTCCTAAATTGAATATGTATTTCCAATATTACTTACCTCTGCTGA